CATTCGAAGTCGTTCCTTGAAAACTGCAAGATCTGAGAGGCAGAGTAGGGTAGCATGGGTGAGCGCAGAAGGAAAAAGACAGGTGAGAGTTAGTTTAAATAAACCAAAACACCAAAATCTACACCATTACCGCAGTTAACAGGTAACACAAACACTGTCACAGGGACACACAAACACCAAAGGAGAAGTGGGTGGGTTACATGGTTGGGGATCAATTCCTGAGAGCTACTTTGTTAGACATGGAAATTGTTTATAGAACAGCTGGAATAAGGTGAATCAGAAGGAGGCCTGCTCCCCTGACACTGGGAAGCCATCAGGCAGCGTCGTTTGAGAACTCCTCATCTTCCTAACCTCAAGAGGTGGCTGATACTGCGCTAACCTGGGAAGTCACGTACACCCAGTCTAGACTACTTTAAGATGAAATACCGAGGAAAAGAAAATTTAAAATCCTAATTTATAGAGTAGCCATTTCTCAGAACTAGATTCAGGTAGTAGATTAGATTCTAAACCTTAAGATTACGAAGAATTCCAAAGAATGAAAGGGCCTTCATCTCCCATCACAAGAAGACAAACTAGAACAGAAGAGCTCAGCAGCTAAAAACAACCCAAGAGCCACAGCTGTCCCTGCAGAGCTGCACATGTTCTTCTACCTGTACACTCTTCATGAGATTGGACCACAACTGTAAGTTTTCTTCACCACTGGTGATGACCAAGATGTTTATTTGGATCCACAAAACATGTTCCTGACCCTTACTGCCTGGGTGCATGGGCCTGGGGAACAGGGTCAAGAAGACAGGTAGCAACAGGGGCTCATGGAGGAGCTGATGGCGGAGCACTCAGAGCCATGGTCATGGTCACTGTGGACACTCGCTGCCCTGGGAGTGCAGAGAAAGGCCAGTTGAATGCTTCCTCTGAAGTTGTTGGTTAAGAACTCTGACTCAGAAAAGACTTCCCTGCTCCCCAGGGCTCCGGCAAGGGCTTCAGGACTCCTGCACTGGGCTAGGCACACTAGGTCAAGCTCTACCTCCCTTCCTCAGGGGACAACTGAAGACCTCAGAATCAAGTGCTCTTAAGATGACAACACATAGGCCAGGCACGGTGGCTCAAGTTTATAATCCCAGCACTTTGGGAGGCCAAGGCGAGAGGATTGCCTGAGCCCGCGGGTTCAAGATCAGCCTAGGCAACATGGTGAGACCTCGTCTCTACAATTAAAAAAAAATTAGCTGGGCATGGTAGCGTGTGCCTGTAGTTCTGACTAATTGGTAGGCTGCGGAAGTAGGACTGCCTGAGCCCAGCAGGTCAAGGCTGTGGTGGATGGAAGCATGCTACTACACTCCAGTATGGGCGACAGAGTGAGACTCCAACTAAAAAAAAAACCAAAACAAAACCAACTCTCCCCCAAAAAAAGACAACACATATCTACGTTCTGCACAAGAGTGTTGATGTTTTGCTTAAAGGAAGATGAAGAATCTCAGTTTTTCTCCTTTAATCTCCAGCATCAAGACACAAGACCACATCATATTTCTGTCAGTGCCCACAGAACTCTGAGGTGTACATTAATCACTCCAACCTTCAAGTAAGGGCCCCATACAGGAGAGGGCCTCAAAGAAAACCTCACACGCTCATTCCCATTAAATAATCTAAAGGCAATGTGGTAAAATGCTTACATTCTGGGTCTTGGGTATGTGAATACTTTTATTTCCATATGTACTTTTTCGTATTTTTAAAATAAAAGGTGCCCAGCATGGCAGCTCATGCCTGTAATCCCAGCACTTTTGGAGGCAGAGGTGGGAGGACTGCCTGAGCCCAGGGGTGAGAGACAAGTCTGAGCAACACGGCAAGACCTCATCTCAATTCTCATTCTATGATAAATCAAAAAATTAGCAAGGTGTGGTGACAAACACCTATAGTTCCAGCTACTGGGAAGGCTGAGGCAGAAGAATTCCCTGATATCAGCAGTTGACACCGCAGTAGCTATGAGCGTGCCACTGCATTCTGGCCTGGGTAACAGAGTGAGGCTCTAACTCACAAAAAATAAAGTAAAATAAAAGGCAAACAAATGAGACAAGCCAAAGAAGAGGAGAATGAAGAAAGAACAATAGAAGATATTCTGGTTGTCACAATTTATGGGAAAGCACATAGATTTTCCAGCACTTGAGTGCTTTGAAACATTGTTAACATTCACGTCCTAAGGCGTGCAGGAGTTATGCTGGAGGATACAAAGCTGACGGAGATTTGGTCACAGCACTTCCAAGAGAAGTATAGTCAGCAAGAGGCAGGGGTATGACACTGGAAACTAGGTGACTTGGTTTGCCAGTTCCTGGGCATCTATAGCCAAAGAATCCTCTCAAAAGTCAGGTGTCTGCTTGGTCCAGGCTTCATGCCCCTTGAGGCTGACCATATGCTTCATTACTTCAGTCTCTTTCAGGTCTGTCCTTAGCTTGGCCCCACCCTTCTGGGTCACTTAGGCCAGCAGTCCCCAGCCTTTTTGGCATCAGGGACTAGTATCATGGAAGACAATTTTTCCACGGCTCATGGGCAGCGGGGGGTGGGTGATCATCAGGTATTAGTTTCTCATAAGGAGCATGCAACCTAGATCCCTTGCATATGCAGTTCACAATAGGGTTCACACTCCTATCAGAATCTAATGCCAGCACTGATATGACAGGAGACGGAGTTCTGCTCACCCACTGCTCACCTCCTGCTGTGCAGCCTGGTTCCTAACAGGCCACAAACTGGTACCAGTCCGCAGCCCAGGGGTTGGAGACCCCTGACTTAGGCAACCTCATCTCCAGCTCTTCAATTCCCTGTGAAACAGCACACTGCACACAGCAATCATTGTTTGCTAAAGGAACTGCTCTAAAATTATGAAACCTAATTAACAACCAACTCTATTTTTAGCTCATTCATCTCAGTCATCAAGGGAGCAAACCAGAGAGCCCTGGAAGGTCAGGGGGACGTGTGGAGACATTGTCAATTACTCACTGTGCTGTTAACAGCAGCAGGTTGTTGGACAGAGGCAGGAAATAATTCATTTAAGTGGCTGAAATTCTGCCATATTTTTGGATGTTTAAATTGGTGTTTTTATCTATTTAACTCAAGTTCATTTCCTAAAACTGAGAGTAGAAATTTGCAAACTTCGGTAGCAGATGGGAAAGAAGTTTCATACTTTCCTCCCATTTATTTGTAGAATTTCTTGTTTTCAATTCTCCTTTATTTATGTTTAAATCTCACATTAAAGTATATCTCAATCATTTTTGTCACAGAAACCACAGATGATGGCATTTTTAACTGGAAATCTAATTCAAATGCTATGCTTGAAAGATAAAACTGAGGGCAAAAGTTAATGGGAACTTTCCCTCCCTACCCCAAACTAAGCAAGGAGCATGGAATGCAATCTGAAGGCAAACAGTGCATATAATCTTTCTGCAAGTCAACTGCTCCTAATTAGACAGTGAGTGGGCAACAAACCCTACAGGCCTAGCTGTCTAGACCTTTCCACTGGTAACACCCTGATTCTGGAATTTTACAATACACACCCATATCCACATTGACATACCACATTTAACTATACACACTCATATCCATATTCTTTAAGGATCGAAGGGAGAAGCTCCCCCAGGAGCCCTCCTACCAGGAGACCCTGGGCTGCTGCCCCCTACCCAACTGGACCTGTGCAGGATATCGTAAAGGAATCGTCGAGCCTCGCTTGGTGCCTCACTCTACATGTCTACAGGCTTGTTGCCAAGGAATCTCACTATGGAGTGTGGGTGATGGAAATGTAATATTCAGGCATTTTATTCTGGAACTCTCAACCCTCCTTCCAAAGGAAAATGGGTCTACCATACCACCTGGCACAAATTAAGATGTGCTTCTGGCGATTCATCTGAAACCTGGTGCCCAATATACTTCATAGAAAAAGGTATCTCTATGCCAGTCTTCACCTGCACAATTATGGAATATAACCCAAACCTAATTGACAAACTGTTCTAAAATTAATTTTTAAATTTTTAATGAAAATGAAAACAATCACTAATCCCATATCTCAACAATATTTTTGCTGCATTCACAACAAATTCTGTGTGCATGCAACATCTGATGGTAAATCTTGACATCCTGGGACTACTCAAGAGTTCTGTATCTGCCGAATCTCCGATAAGTGGCAAGAACCTAAATGCTAGTTCTCTTTTCCTCTGCTACTTCAGGAACCGGGAAAGTTTCTGAGAAATGAGGATAGGGAATCTAGACCAGCATTTCCCAACTTTTTCAAAACTGGTCAGAAGAAGTCAAGATCTACATGGTTCATGCCTGCAATCCCAGAACTTTGGGAGGCCAAGGTGGGAGGATTCCTTGAGCCCAGGAATTTGAGACCAGACTGAGCAACATATAGAGACTCCATCTCTACAAAAAACTTTAAAAAAAATTAGCCTGGTATGGTGGTATGCACCTGTAGTACCAGGTACTCGAGAGGCTGAGATAGGCGGATCATGTGAGCCCAGGAGTTCAAGTTACAGTGAGCTATAATCGAGCCACTGTACTCCAGCCTGGGCTACAGAGTGAGATCATGTAAAAAAAAAAACAAAAAAAAAAACCCAACAAAAAAACAACCAAACAAATTCAGAGTGGACAGAATCCCCTCTATGCACTGTGGATCAAATTGGCCCGCTACCCAGGTACTCAGCTGGCAAAGTGTTCTCAGGAAGGTACCACCAGCAACCTTCTGAACAGCTCCATCAATGGCTCCTGCCCTCCATCAGTGCCCCTCACCTGGAGTTTTCCCAACAAGACAGAACAAGCTCTGCTGGAACCATCAAGAGCTGTGTTCAAACATATGGAATATGATCACTGCGCTGAGCCTCAGTTTCCTTAAGGAGTGGGAGAAACTATGCATGCATCTACAGGAAGGTGGGAAGAGTGGCTAAACAGAGACATGGGAATAATCCCAGCTCTGGGAAAAGACGTCATTTGACGCAGGACACCACTCACATGGTCCTTGATTGCAGTTTATACAGGTCACCAAGTGGCTACTCTGGCTAATGCCTTTTATTGCACAGCAGAGAGTGCAGCTCACTGCCCCATTTCTAAGCTGGTGACCAATGCTCCTGGGCCCCAAACCTCACCTCATACAGAGTCCTCACTTCTTAATTTGCAAGCTCCTGCCCAAGACACCATGTTGCATCCTTATCATTTGGGTACAACCAAGTCCTCACCACAATTAACTACCGTGTGATCCTGGTCTACTTGCTTGACCTCTCAGTTTCTGAGTTTATTTCATTACCAGAGTTCAGCAGTTACTTACCTCAAAAGGTGGTTAATAAACACATTAGCTCACTCATAGAGCTTAGTAAATTCCAGGTACTACTCCAGGGAGTTTATTTAATTTTGAAACTACCTTAGGAGGTAGGTAGCATCCCTCCTGTCATACAGATGAAATGACTAAAGCACAGAGAGGTTAAGCAACTAGCAAGGTCACACAGTCAGTAATAGCAGAGTTGGGACTCCAATCCAGGGAGAGTGGCTCCAGAGTCAGGATCTCTGAGGTTCAAATGAGGCAACTTATTTGAAGTGCTCTATAAACTGTCTAGTGGTCACATCTGACCTGTTGTTTTCTTGAAGGCCTGCATATGTCAAGGGTGAGAGTTCAAGACCAATTTTCCTACAGATTCAAATGTATCGAGTTTAAAGCATTTCCATTTTTGCACTTAAAAAAGAATTTATTGCAATTTTTAGGTCACACAATTTCAAATCCACAGGATTAAAATGTACCTTTCTCTCCCAAAATGGAGACTATTCCCTGACTTTGGCTCAGGGCTCCTGGCCAGAGGTGGCAAAGGTCTCTCTTACTTAAAGGATTTCAGAAAGCTTTGGGGCCACTTCTGCACATTTTAGTTTCATGATTTATAAAGTCATCTGGCCCTATCACCCCCACCATGTTGTTGCTGAACCTGGAAACACAAATTTCACAGAAGTACAAATACCCAAGGACATCATTCCAGAGTGGAAAATAAGGAAAGACCCAGTGATCGCCTGGGAAGAACCAGGAAGGACACTCATATTCTAGTCCTGCCATGGCCAATGATGAGATGGGAAATTAGAGGCCAGATCAGTCGACAGCCCTTGGGGTTTCTGATCCTTTAAACACTATGCAGAGTTGGGATCACCTTTGAGTGTTCCTCTTGATCTAATTAGTCTGAATGGGGACAGAGGACAGCTTAAGGGCTCCTCAAAATAATATTACAGTGCAGAGTTGGGAGAAGAGCTGGGTCAACATAGGTTTGGGTAGGAAAGGGTGAGCCAGTCACCTCACCTGGCCCCTCTCTTCTTTGAATGCTTTGCCGCTTGTGGAAAACTAGTATTCCGAGGTTCCCTACCTAGCCTGAATGCAGAGGGAGGTTTTCCTCTGAAGAGGCAGCTCCTGGGTGCAGGCCCCTGTGCTATTCATTAGGGAGGAGCAAACCTGGCAACTTGAGGGGGCTCACCCTGTCCTGAGAACCTGGAGGGTACCCAAAGGTCTGGAAGTTTCCAGGGGCAGTGAGCATAGGGGTCTGGAGGAGCTCAGGGCAGACAAGCTATGATGTGACTAGGGGTACTTGGGAGGGGTTTCTATGCTAAGGAGTGAGGAGTAGGAAAGAGGCTTTCAGACCTCCTGGGGACACTGTAAAGAAAGGCCAACTTCTTGGAAGCACAATGCTGTCGCCAGAGTGAAGGAGAGGGTTCAACTTATGCCCAGTCTACAACCCAAACTGGCCCCACTGAACAAGATTTAAGAGGATTTCTCTAAACTCCCTTCCTAAATCTGCTAAAGGGTTAGTACAACATAGAGGAAGCCCTTTATTATCTAAGAGTGTTTTTGAAATCAAAACAAAAGAGCAATTACAAACCATCAACACCAATGCCAGAATCGATAACGTTTGATGTCTAACTTCACCTGATTAATGTCTGATCCCCTAGTCATAACTCAATAATGTCTGCAAGGACATTCAGGCACTGCAGAGCCTTGGCAAGACTGATTTTCTGTACCATTCCCCCAAAGTGCCTGTGAGGAGACTAATTTCTTCCCTCCCCAAGAGCAGTATTAAGCAGGTAAGTGATCATCAATTTCATCAGCATGCAGTGTCTGTTGTGAACACCCTGGCCATTTCAAAATTAGTTACATCATCGTTTCTTTAGTACAGGTTAGCAGCACAGTGACATAAAGCAGATTAACTCTGGAAAGCAGCTGCAGGTGAGAGCAGGTGCAGGTCCAGCCACGACACCCACCTCACCTTAGGAGGAGTGGGGGGTGTAGGTGAGGATATCTTCTGGTAACTGTGAAAAAACCCCAATTGTGCTCTACACATGCACCTCCCAAAGGCCCTAGCCTCCTGACGCTGTGGGAACGCCTTCCAAAGTTTCCTCAGTGTGATCACCAGCAATTACGAATCAGAAGACACAAACTGCACAACTTGCTCTGGAATTTGCCCCCCAAGGGGCACAAATGGCCTCCTATCAAAGGCAGGCTACAGCGGGCTTGAATAGGATGGCTGTGACAGCAGTTCCTGAGCAAAGCCTCGTCGATATGCCTCATTGAAGGCAGTGCTGCTCTGAGATTTGGAAAGCTGAAGCCAGAAAAGTTATTCTCTGAAGTGCTTTTGATCTGCTTGTCCCAGGTGGCAAGCTTTTTCCCTGTGCCACAAACCTTTCTGTCCAAAACTGTATTTTCAAATTTTGAGACTTGGACGATCTGGCTTAAAAAGTGGGATAAAAATGAGTTGCCCAAAACACACTAAGACTGGAATACCAATAAATTTCAAGTGATCAGAACAAAAGGAAACTTAAGAGCCTTTCCCTCCTGTCCCTATATCCTGGCTACCACAGGTCGTGGCACAGCGAGAGGAGCTCAAGCAACGCAGCTGACTGCTCTCAGACCCTCACCAAGTTTGTCTGTGGATGAGATAATGTCAGCGGGCACGGAGGAGTCCAGATCAGCATCCAAAATCCCCAGGGGGTCCAGCTGTGCTACATGGTGCCCTCGTATCTATGAGTGGGCCAACGATGAGAGGGAAGGACACACACAAAGGGACAGGAGAAAAAAAAGAGGGAAGGGGTAAAAAAAAAAAAAGTAAAATTACATTAAAATTAGCATTTACAGATTAATTCTCACCCACGTTTGAAGAAACAGTTACTGGAGCATCATCAAAATTTACACAACTAATTCCGAGAGGATCAAGTTTTGCAATGTGGTGACCCCTGACCTGGAAGCAATAACACAAGTAAGTCATTAAGCAGATCCAGCAAGCTGTGGGGAGGGGTAAAAGAGTTATACTTCATGCAAACCTTTCCCAATGAGGAACATAACACAAATGAACCCATACAACAAAATTAGTTTTGAAAAGCACTATTATGCGTAAATGTACTTTTATAAAAAAGGAAGGATCTGTTTCTTGGGATCCTTACAAAGTTCTCCTGGATAAACAGAAAGGAGATATGCTGGGGATTCTACTCCAATGTGAGGCCTACCTCAGCTTAGAACAAAAAAATTTCCCTAAGGTGCCTGCTGCAGTGGCATGCACCTGTAGTCCCAGCTATTCTCTCTAGCTGGAGGATTGCTTAAGCCTAGGAGTTTGAGACCAAGCTGGGCAATACGGCAAGACTACATCTCAATTTAAAATAAATATAAACACATTTTTAAAATTAAAAAACAAATTTCCTGGTTGGGCATGGTGGCTCACGCCTATAACCCCAGCACTTTGGGGAGGCCAAGGCGAAAGGATTGCTTGAGCCCAGGAGTTAAAGACCAGCCCAGACAACATAGTGAGACCTCATTTCTACAAAAATAAAAAATATAAATAAAAATAAGTTAAACTGTAAAAAATCATTAAGGAGGAAAATGGAGGCTTAGGTGTCGGCCTTGACTGGGGAAGGTGCATATAAGGCGTCATCTTATTAAGAAAAGGTTTGCCTTTATTGTGTCTGCATGGGGAGTGAGGGCTCTGGCCCTGGCGCTGCTGAATAAGTCAGCACACAGTAGTCAGAACAAAAAAAACCTGCGGTAACATGAACTTAAAACATCTCATTTGAATTGCTTAAAAAAATGAAAGGAGAAAGAAAATGCCTTCCAATTTTAAGTTTCTTTCAGTTTCGGGAATTTGAGTCACAATCTCTTGCTAGCAATTTGAGAAGGGGAGCAGCTGCTGATAATTCACTAAAAGATCAGGTTAATGTTGTTATTGAGGCCAGCTGTGTGCAGGCAATGCTCAAGAAGTACCAACTGTGCAAATGTCCACTGCAAATTGTAATTGAGAGTACGCGGTCACGGTATTTGCAAACCTCCATGCTTCTCCTTTCTGAGGCATATCAACTTGCCCCAGGGAGAGTCTTACTTGCCAGACCATGGCAAGAAGGGCCAGAGGCCCAGGGCCTGTGCCACCCTGTTGTGACACCTGCTCCACTGCATCTACTGGCAGAGGAAACAGCCCATGCCACCGGAAACCAAAGTGGGAGGGAAAGAAGAGCTCGGGGCATGAGTCTTCTTGTTGCCACCAATGCAGCTACACAACAGCAGGTGGCAAGGGCCTGGATGCCCACGGGACCTTCCAGAAGGGATGCACTGCGTTTGCTTGTCTCTATCCATCCTCCTTAGAACGATCACAGATCAAGTCTTAAGGTCTGAGCTCCAGGCTCTTTCCCACATATCCGGTAGACATCCTAGAAAAGCACTGGCTATTGTGCTCCGAGAAAGGGCAGAGAGGAGAAGCCCTCTTCTGCTCAATACTTGCCCAATGAGGTTGACCACTAACTGAAATGCTTTTAGAGAGAAGTCCACCCCACCCCCCACTCTCTGTAGCTCAGCTGCCCCTCATCTGCCTCTCTCTACATCCATGTCCCTAAATTCTGCAGTTTTATTTTTTCTTAAAATATTCAACTGTGAGCAACTGAGGAGGCATCAACCCACCTGACAGCATGAACTCTCCCAGCACTGCTCAGTGCTGAGTGGGCAGCACTTTTTCTTGATACCCAGGTCTGCCTTGGTTTCCCTGCACACAAATCTTGCCAACTTAGGAAAAAAAGTAAGGAGCTATTTAAAGAGCAGGCATAAAAAGTGCCCAAGGATTTGCTCAAATAGGGTTAGCCTGTATATTTGTTTTTTGCCTTCCTAAGACCCCAAGGCAGGAAGAAAGCACCTCGTATTTAAGGAGGTACAGGTGAAATGACAATATACACTCAAAAAAGGCCAACGGTGCCACAAGGCACACCTAAGGAACACTGCATTCTTTCCCGCGTGGACAGTCAGCACCCAGCTTACCTGATACGCCCTGATGAGGGACTGCACTGCCAGGTGGTCCTCCACGAGCTTGTCCACGTTGGGCTGGGCCTCCACCAGGGACTGTGCATGGGCTACAGCAGCAAGGGAGCCTCGGCTCAGGGGCAGGGGACTCTGGTAGGCAGTGCCTGGGGGAGCTCCGGCATTGGTGTTGCGAAAAAAAATGTCCCATGACTAAAGACAAAGAAGGTATAAGGTTACCTCACTGCTCCCCTAAGTCCAGAACGCATCTGTAGCCAAAGAGAACTGCTCCCTTCAGGCAAGTCAATTCTAACACAGGCTAGCTGAGCCCACTTCCTCCTGCTCTGGACAGTAGGGTCCTTGTCTGCCCCCAAATGGGATTTCTCTCAGAGTTTGGGCCCCCTGCTTTCCACCCCTTTCATTTTGCCCTCAGAACGCATCTTCTAACCCTAACCCTGTAACACAGATGCCCTGTGGCCATATTCCATCAACACACATATATTAAGGGTCCAAAGTCAAACACCTGCGGACCAAGTGTTGGGAACTCAGGACAGATAAAAGCTCAGGAAGCAGGTAAACAGAACTCTCCCTAGGCCCCAGCATCTGGGAGGTGATGCTCTTGGCCCTCTACCTCTAAGTCCTTTGCAAACTCTGACGGTTCTTCTGTGGGATGCCAAATGCTCACATCCTGACACAAGTAGCTCCTTCAAGATCTCGGAGGCTCAGTACAACCTTTGGAGGACCCAGGGTCACCTTGCTCACTTCTTCTTACTCTCGTGGACATAGAACAGAATCTGATCCTTTGTAAGAGATGGCATGAACCCCAGAGAGAACTAATCTTGTCTCTACTTCAGAAGGGGGAATTGGGAACTAAGAGCTCAGGGTGTGAGGTCAGAGATCAAAATTCAAATCCAGTGTCTGTGTCAGAGATTGAAATTAAAATTCAAGAGGTAAGTTCTTAGCAAATTACCTAACGTTTTCTATTTCTTTTTCTCATCTATAAGGACAGAAATATATGTTCTTTATAGGTATGCTGTGGAGATTAAATAGTGTCATTAAACACAGTAGCACACATTCTAGCAGGTAACCAATAATTCACAAAAGCCAGTTATCACCATCAGTTTGCATTTTCTTATGAACTACTTATATTTCATTTACTTGTATTTCTACTTTTAGTTATTTCTATTTGAATTACTGATTTTCAATTTACATGGATGTTGTGAATTATAATAGTTTATTCATCTCATACAAACATGTTTTCAAAATATTTTAGAAATCAGAGATACTAAGACTTCACAAAATTCCACTGGGGGAAAAAAGATGAAAAACCAGACAATTTAGAAAAATAAAAACTTTAGGGCTGGGTGCAGTGGCTCATGCCTCTAATCCTAGCACTTTGGGAGGCCAAGGCGAGAGGATTGCTTAAGTTCAGGAGTTTCAGACCAGCCTGAGCAACATAGCAAGACCTCATCGCTACAAAAGTTAAAAAAAAAAAAAAGATAAAAACTTTCTTCTCTGCAATACATTCTTCAGTTTCTAAGTTCTTCTACCTATAAACTCTGGTTAGACTGTCGTGAAAAATTTGGAGGAGAAACTTCGCCATATTTTTGTGTTCACCTTTTCCAAGATGTTCCCAGATACACTCTTTGTCTGGAACTTGAATGGATATGAAATGGGTCTGTCTGTATCTAGAAACAGAAGGAATCCGGATGGCTACAGAAACCATAGTATTGGTCCTTAAGGTCTTTTGGCTTTTTTCTTTGTAATGGACTGCTGTACAGGGTATAGGTATATCTAACTCAGATGGTCCCACTACCGAGAGCACTGCTGTATACTGCTGCCAGCCACAAACTAGAAAACAAACTACAATGACACACAGGCCTGGACCAATGCAGGGCAGTCTGGTTTCTCATTGAAAACTTTTTATGGGGAGTTTCATGGAATGTTTAAAACATTCTACAATAAGCACATACTTCTCTTGTATTCAGAAAAAATAATTTTTAAAAACCAAACCACTGGAGATATGATTGCACAGTATTATGAATATACTAAATAACAATATGTTTAGGCACAGTGGGACAGGCCTATAATCCCAGCTACTTGGGAAGCTGAGGTGGGAAGATTGCTTAAGCTCAGGAATTTAGAACAGTTTGGGCAACACAGCAAGACCCCATTCCTTAAAAACCAAACCAAACATCACTGAACTACACACACTTTAAATGACGACATTTATGTTACGTGAATTATATCTCAATGACAATTTAAAAATGTTTGGAGAAATCAAACCATTTGAGGTTTTACTGTCTTTACCTTTCTGCTCAATTTTTGTGTATCTGATGGTAGAAGAGAGATGTAGGGTTTTCTTCTGGCACCTCCCATAAAACCTACTACAGAAGCATCTTATACAAAAAAACTAACAATCAGGTACATGAAGAGAGAAGTCTGCAAACTTTCCTTTTCCACAGGTGCTATCAAAATGCTTGCAGGTCAGGCGCGGTGGCTCAAGTCTATAATCCCAGCACTTTGGGAGGCCGAGGTGAGAGGACTGCCTGAGCCCGCGGGTTCAAGACCAGCCTGGGCAACATGGTGAGACCTCGTCTCTACAATAAATCAAAAAAATTAGCTGGGCATACACTACATGTGTATGTAGTTCCAGCCACTTGTAAGGCGGAAGGATCCCCTTGAGCCCAGCAGGCCAAGGCTGCGGTTGCCAGGAGCATGCCACTGCACTCCAGCCTGGGTGACAGAATGAGACTCAAACTCAAACTCAAAAAAAAAAAAAACTTGCTAAAGAAATTCAGGTTTTGAAATCCCATTTCGCAGTCTTCCTCCATTTAACTGCTTCTTACCCAAACTCATGCTGAGTGTTCCCCTCACGTGGGAAAAGGCAGTCAATCCACCAGAAAAACAACAACAACAAAAACCTGACTTACTCTTATGAGCGAAATAGAGGACATCTCAACATTGACTCCTTAGGCTACGGTAAAGCTGCCTCCCCTCTGTTCCTGACTGATTCTGTACAAGGACACAAGGATCCAGATGACAGCTGTGCACAAACATGCTAGACGTCCCCAAATGTTTCTGGCTTCCTAGAGGCTTTTCCAGCAGGCTTGAGAGTTCCCTACATCCTAGAAGCAGAGATGACCAAGGACCACACGTTTTGACCACCAATCCTGGTTCTGGGAGCAGAGATGACCGAGGACCACATGTTTTGACCACCAATCCTGGCTCTGGGAGCAGAGATGACAGGGAGCTGCATGCCTTGGTCACCCATCTTTGTTCTGGAAAGGGAAGTGACTGAGGACCCCACACCCTTGCCAACCATTCTGGTACAGAGGAAGAGATGACCAGGGACCACACACCTTGCCTGTACATCCTTGTTCTGCAAGGAGAGATGACCAAAGACCGCATGACCTGACCTCTGCCCAGGCCTCCCAGAATGGAAGGCCTGGCCTAAAAGGAGAAGACCTCCAGTATGGCAGCAAACTGGACAGGAGTCAGGCCAGCTGCACCACACCAGCACAGCAAGAACCAACAGCAAGCAGCTACTGCCATGTCAAACCTAATGAAGGTTCTTCTTTATCCCAAATTTGCATCAGTATTAGCAGATCCACCCTCACCAGGAGACCCCACCAGTCCACCACAAAGCTTATGGGTAGGGTATGATCAAGTATAGACCGGAAAGCAGCACAACCCAAACTTTCTTAAACCCTTGAAACATATTGTCTTTCTTCTACCCCCCAGAGCCCATTAAGAAGTGTCCAGAAACATGGGGCAAATCCACCAGAGAACACCAAACTGGATCGAAGGTCCTCCCCATCTATACAGACAGACTCCTTTATTCTGGACATCTGCTTAAAAGTCAGAGCAAAAACACAAGTTTGCCTCTTCTTGGTAAAATAAGCTTTAAAAAATAACAAGTTTTTTTTTTTAAGAAAAGGAATAGTAGCAGCAGCAGTGACAGGAATAGTTAACTCTTCATGATGCTCTCTGTGGGCTTTTCTAACTCACTAAGAATGTCAACCACACCCTCTGCCGGGAGAGGTTTAGACTCGGGCAGAATTTACACACAGTGTAGTCACCAGGCAGGGTATTAATAAGGTTAACTGAGTAATAACAGTGCAACCCTTATTTAAATAATTCACTGTAGTAATAGTGCTTCTTACCCTGGCTTACCCTCACCAAAGCAAGCTGGGAAAACAATTAAATGAAAGAAATTTCCACCCGCTGAAGCCCAGGGGCCTAAGATCAGGGTCAAGGTTAAGGTCAAGGTCAGCTCTCTGGCCCTGAGAGCACAAAGACTGCAGGATTCCTTCCAGTTCAGGCCTTGGAGACAGGGCGATCGTGATCATCGGGCCTCCTCTCTCTGACCTTCTTTTGTGCTTGGAATAAAACTCCAGGTAATTTTCAATTGGCTGAGGACAACTGCACAGACGAAATTCAGCTCGTGCTGGAGGCGGTCAGAAAAAACTGGTTTGTACCGGTACTGAAGAGCTGCTGGGAATCCCCGGGAAAGAATATGCCAGGAATGCAGCTTCCATGGCCTTTCTTTTATTCACCTCACCCCACAAGCCCCACTTCACTATCCAGTCAGCTCAGCTCCCATACCACTGGGGGACCACCCACCCTCAAACAAGGAGCCCACCCTGTCTCCAGGACTGGGCGGGGCAGCACACACAAAAACAGCAAGTCCCCTCTGCACCATGACTTGGAGATACACTCAAAGGTTTTCAGACTTAGGTGATGGAATGTTCTTTATCCAGAGTAGTTTCTGCATACGTTTGGCAAACCCAGTGCACTACACACTTAAAATGAGCAAATTTTAATGTAAGTTAGACCTCAAAAAAGGTTTTTTGAATAAAGGTCTTTTTTTTTTGTGGCTGTGGCCTGCAGTCTTCATCTCCTGACAGACGTGGCAGCAGGAAGCCAGAACACACCAGCCTAAACCCCAGCACTCCCACCCACCGACCCTGCCCCTCCCTGCATGAGACTCTAATGGGGCCACTTCCTTCCTGGCAGGGCCCAGATATCACAGTCCATCCCCATCTCTCTCCACCTCCCTTTCTTCCTGCAATCCAGCATCTCTCTAGCCTCTTCTCCCAGCCCTGCCTCTCCTTCTTGACACCTGCATCTGAACCTGCCTTCCATTCCTCCTAGCTTTAGGTTTTCCGTGGCCTGCAGAGCCCTCCCTGCCTTCCTGCCTCCATACCTCC